GCAACAGAGTGAGATTCCATCTCAAAAAAAAAAAAAAAAAAAAAAAAAAGGGAAGAAGGAGGAGGAGGAGAAAGAGAAAAAGAGAAGAAGAAGAAGACGACGACGACGACAACGACGAAGAAGAAGAAGAAGAAGCCCGCAGAGTGTTGGTAAATGCAGATTCCTGAGCCTACCCCGGATTGCTGAGGTGGAGCCCAGGAATCAGCATTAACAATAAACATTCTGGGTTAGGTCTGGTTAAGGGACTGAAAGCCACATTGCCCAGTTCAAATTTTGGCACTACCATTCACTAGTAGTTAGGCAAGTCCCTTAACTTTGCTAAGCCTCAGTTTCTTGGCTTGTAAAATGGGGATAATAATGGTGCCTACATTGTAGGGCTGCTATGGGAATTAAATGAGATCACGAAAGTGAGGTGTCCAACACAGTGCTTACATGGATAGATATGGATGACTAGTATGACAGCCGCATTCTCATGCCCTGGGACTTTTGAGAGAGGCAGAGCCTTGAGACCCTGCTTCTGGAAGGGGCTCTGACGGTGGTGCTCTGGAAAGCAGAAGCCTTGGCCAGGTAGCGCCCTCACCCAGAACCATCTGCCACCTAGTGGCTGGTGTGTGAGACCATGCCCAGCTCTCCTGCCTCCACCCAGCTGAGATCCATGGCCCAGCTGACCAGAGGTTCCACCCTGTCTCCTGGCCCAGTGGCAGCCTCCCTCCCTGCCCCTCTGCCCTGGGAGCCTAATTGGCTTGGCACCAGCTCTGGCACTTCCCTCCAGCTTTGTAATAAAATAGGTGGCTTGGGTCAGATTTCCCTGACAGGCAGGCTACCTGGCACAGACACAGGAGGTGGGGAGGAAGGCTGGGGAAAACGGCTCCTTTAATGACCACCAATTACAGTCTGGTATTCTCAAGAGGCCACTTCCTCTCCAAACTAGGTGACCCCCAGGAAAGAGCCCTATGTACTTGTTTTTCTTCCTTTCCTAGTCCTTCATCATTCATTTATTCCAATGCACTTACCCATGCATTCATTCATTCAATATTGAAATGTTTACTATATCCCAGGTGCTCAATGGTGATCACCAGGAATTGGCAAAGTTTTTCTGTAAAGAGCCAACTAGCAAATATTTTCAGCTGGCCAATATTATTCCAATAGGACCAACCTATTCTGCTGTTGTAGCAAGACAGTAGCTATTGATATGTAAACAAATGGGTAGGTGTGGCTATGTTCCAATGAAACTTTATTTGTGGACATTGAAATTTTTTTTTTTTTTTTTTTGAGACAAGGGTCTCACCCTGTTGCCCAGGCCGTAGTGCAGTGGCATGATCATAGCTCACTGTAACCTTGATCTCTCCAAACTCAAATGATCCTCCCACCTCAGCCTCCTCAGTAGCTGGGTCTACAGGCACGCACCACCATGCCTGGCTAATTTATGTATTTTTTTGTAGAGGTGGGGTTTCACCATGTTTCCAAGCTGGTCTCGAGCTCCTGACCTCAAGCGATCCACTCACCTTGACCTCCCAAAGTGCTGGGATTACAGGCTTGAGCCACCGTGCCCGGCCAGCCATTTTCATGTGTCATGAAATGTTCTTTTGATTTTTTTCCAATCATTTACAAATGTAAAAACTATTCTTAGCTTGTAGGCCATACAAAATGTAACATCCAGTGGACCATTGCTTGCCAGCCCTGAGCTGAGTCCTCCATGGGCAAGACCATGGAGTATGCGACACCCAGTGGAGTGTGCAGGCCAGTATCTCCAACAGGGTCAAGACCTTTGGAGAGCCTTGCTGGGGAGGAGGGTACGCCCCCAAGCCTACCACAGCTCTACCACTGCAGCCCTCCCAGACTCCACTCTCTCAATGCCACATATGTTCTCAGTGGCTTACATATGGGGACTCTTAAGTCTCCTTTACAATCAGAAGGTTTTTTTGAGGGGAAGAACATTACTGTTCACGCATTTGGAATTAGAAGGGACCCAAGTTCAAACACCTCCTTGACCACTCTTTTGCTGAATGACCTTGGACGAGTTACTTCACATCCCTGTGCCTCAGTTTCCTGATCTGCAGTCCCTCTCTCATAGGTATTGAGAGGATGGAGTACACGCATGTACAGTGCTCAGACAGGTGCCTGACATGGAGTCAGTGGTCAATGTTTGTGGATTCTCCTCACAGTTCCTTTTTCCCCACCCACCCCAGAATCCAGCATGGCTCTGGGCTCTGCTCAGTCCCTCCTTGCCAAGTGTTAACTTCCAAAATAAGAGAAAAAGTCCCCGGATTCCTCACCCAGGAGCCCCACAGAGTCCATACCTTGGGGTCCTAGAATGCTTTGCCCTTTATACTTAGCTTAGAGCTTTTCCCCTTTGGCTTTTTTTTCCCTAGCAAAATGATCACTTCTTCCCTCCCAAAGCAGCTTACACGGATGCCAGGCTTAGGAGTGTGTGCACATGATGAACTCTTGGCTGGTTCTTCTCTAGCGATGAGCTGTGGAGGAGGAGACTGCTTGGCTGGGAATAAAGGAAGTGGGAGGCCGTCTTACCTGCTGGCCCACAGTCCATGGGGGTGGGAAGGCTGCCCAGGTCAAGGTCTTTAGCATCTCAGTCATTATGCCAAATACCTGGACCCTCCAGCACTTTCTCTATTCTCCAAGTACAGTCCTCCCCAGGTGGGTGCCCGACTCACTCCTCCTAAAACAGCACCCCTCTCTCTCTTCCAAAGCCTCTATGATCTTATCTGGTTTCATTCTTTCATAGCACTTAGCCCTATGTGAAATTTTATTTGTTTGTTAGAGTTTTTTTCAGTTTCCCTTTCACTAGAATTTAAGCTCCTTGAGGGCCGGACTTGTCTGATATAATCCTTATGACTCTTTTTACAGGACAGATAATATCCCTGTTTAGCAGCTGAGCATATTAAGGTCACCTAGTCAGTGAGTGGTAGAATGAGGATTCAAGGCCAGTTCTCTCTGACAGTCAAAAGCTCTCATTCTTGGGCCGGGTGCGGTGGCTCATGCCTGTAATCCTGGCACTTTGAGAGGCTGAGGTGGGCAGATCACTTGAGTCCAGGAGTTGGAGACCAGCCTGGGCAACGTGGGAAAAACCCATCTCTACAAAAATCGCAAAAAAAATTAGCCAAGTCTGGTGGTGCATGCCTGTAGTCCCAGCTAATCGGAAGGCTGAGGTGGGAGGATCACCTGAGCCCAGGAGGTGGAAGCTACAGTGAACCAAGACTGTACTACTGCACCCTAGCCTGGGTGACAGAGTGAGACCCTGTTTAAAAAAAAAAAAAAAGAAAGAAAGAAAAGAAAAGACAAGAAAAGAAAAGAAAAATAAAATACCTCACATTCTGGGCCTCCACACTAAGACAGAGGTCATTTTACCTGGCAAGATGGGAGTGTATAGGCTTTGAGTTCCACAGTCTGCTTCCAGCAGCAGTAACAGCAATCATGTGTCAGGAGACATTTATGTGAACCCTAGGAACGCTCTGTACCACTACTTCGGGAGGCAAAACCAGGCAGGCTGCACTTCTGCCCTCTTGGAGCTCATGGGCTGATTAAATAGAGACACACATTTTAGGCTTTCTGCTATAATGCAGGTTGCACTAGGAACTATAAAGGGGTACAAAGTATTTTAGGAATACTGTCTTAATTTGCTTGGGTTGCTGTAACAAAATACCATAGACTGGGTAAGTCAAAAACAGAAATTTCTCTCTCACAGTTCTGGAGGCTGGAAGCCCAAGATCAAGGTGCTAGCCAGTTTGGTTCCTGTTAAGTGTATGTTGGGTGCTTTACATTTTACAAAGCCTTCTTCCTGGTTGCAGACAGCTACCTTCTTGCTGTATCCTCGAGTGGTAGACACAGAGATCATTTTTCTGACATCTCTTTTTATAAGGACACGAATCCCATTATGAGGGCTCCACTTTCATGACCTAATTACTTCCCAAAAGCCCTGCCTCCTAATACTGTCACACTGGGGATTAGGCTTCAACACATGAATCCTGAGGGGACATAAACATTTAGTCCACAGCAGGTACCAGGTGCAGTTGGCCAGGAAAGTCAGGACAGTGTGGTCTAGGAGCACAAGGGGTGCTGTCAGGGAAGACACTTTGGACAGAGAGGGTGGAGGAGCAAAGGCCAGTGAGTCACCACCTGTTTGAGGACCAGTAAGGACTCGGAATGGCTATGGCCTAGATAGTGTTGGGAAGGGCAATGATTGTGTGAAAGGCAGTAGAAGATAGGTTGGGGCCATATCATGTGAGGCCTAAAAGAGACTGGGGAAAGACTGGGCTTCCTACAGCCTGCGTGGTAGATAATAAGAACACTGACAGAGCAACGGCTTACTGTGTATGTTGGGCGCTTTACATTTTACGAAGCACTTCCAGTCCTTCTTCCACTCTGCCCTTACAATTTCTAGCATACAGGTAAGAGTGATACGTTTAGGATCAGGAGCCTGACATCCACTCAGTCAGGAAACAAGTTGTGTAGATTCGAACAAGTTACTTCCCATCTCCAAGGCTTTACTCATCTCTAACCACAGGGGTCAATTCTCAGAGCTTTCTGAAGGATTTCACAAAACTATTCTCATCACAGTGCTGTATTTAACTTCTGGTCCTCAGTTCTTTCTCTGTTAAATGAGGACAATTCCTGTCCAGCCTAATTCAGAGGGGCTGTGGCTGTGATTTTGTAAGCAAAGGTCAATGGTAAGAGTCCTCTTAACAGGCCAATGAGAAGTTTGTTCCCCTTTTGGCAGATGAGGCCAGGAAAGTTAGTGCTTCTTGGTTGGTGGCTGAAAGCCTCAGAGAAGGAACTTTGACTTCTTTAACAGTATCTCTTAGTACTCGCCACACTATTTCGTTTATACGGGGAAGAGAGGGGAAGACAGCGCACAAGCGACAGACAGCGCAGGACCTACCGAAATAGGAAGCGCCAGGCGCCATAACAGACCAACCGAGCCGGGCCCACTTAAAGGGCCAGAACCTCTCGTGCCCCGCCCCCCTGTCTCAAGGCCATCAATCAGAGAGCGAGGCGCTCCGTGACGCCATCTTATCGCGACTAAGCGGAGTGGCGGCGGCATTTCCTGGTGTCTGAGCCTGGCGCCCAGGCTATGGGCAGCCAGGAGGTGCTGGGCCAGGCGGCCCGGCTGGCCTCCTCCGGTCTCATCCTGCAGGTACTCTCTGCCCGTCAGGTTTCAGCTTGTACTGCAGCCGAGATTTGCGGGATGGCAGCCTTCGGGCCCTTGAGAGCCTGCCCCAGGGCCGACCCAGTTCCGAGGTGGACCCCGCAATGGAGGGGGTGGGGGTCGACCGGAGACGGTGGCGTTGGTGAGGGGGGGCCTGGCCTGGAGATGGGAGCCTGCCTTCAGAGTCTAGGCCGGGTGACTGCAGACAAGCCGCTTTCCTTCAGAGCATTCTATTTCCCATATGGCAGGAGGAGTGAATTAGATCAGGTGGTCGGGGTGAGGGACTGGTATTTCGTGCTCGAGAATCTGGTATTTTTCAGGCAAGAGGTTCATTTCCTTCATCAAACACGGCCCTCAAACTTTGAGTCCCACTGAGTTCCGAGAGACCATATGGCATAGCTAAGAACAGGAATCTGGAGTTAGGCTTGGATTGCTCCGTGACCCAGGACAAGTGACTTCACCTGCAGAGCCTGAGTTCCTCACTAGTAAAATGGGGGTAATAATATGTAGTACCTAGCTCATAAGCAAGAATTGATTGGGATCATTCAAATAAACGTACTTAACACAGTACCTGGCTCTTAGTATGCATTTAATACATGTTGGCTGCATCTTCTGTTTATGTGATCTTGGACAAGTCACTTCACCTCTTGGCCCTAATTTTTGTCATCTGTCAGATATGATACATGCCAGTTAGTCCAAATGGTATCTGAAGATTCTTTCAACCCCAGGAACTGAACCTTTTAAGTCAAGCGGCTCCGTATCTCTCTGTCTCACTCTTGAGCCAATCAACCCTACTTCACACAAGTCTTGAATCTACCCTACCCCTTATCTTAGGCAGATGGAGGGCAGAAGAAAGAACCAAGCAGAATGGGGCTTGAGTTTGGGCCTTGTCACTTGCTAGATGCACTCCTTCGGGATAAATCCCATGACTTCCGTGAGTATCAGTTTCTTCATCTTAAATGAGAACCATAGTGCAACCTCACAGGGTCATTAGGAAGATTAGATGAAATCATGCCTCTTAAGTGCCTGGCACACTACAAGTACTTAATAAATGTAGCTATTTTTATTAGGGTAATAAGGATTTTTAAAATAGTCAATGTAGGAATGAAATGAGATAACCTATGGAAAGCATGTTGAAGAGTGCCTTGCACATGATACGTGCTTAGTAAATGTTAGCCATTCTAAGTTTACTTAGGGTTGTTTTTTTTTTTTTTTTTTTTTCCTGTTTCACTACATAAATAACTGAGTTTAGTGCTTTATCCACAGTGTTGATTTTTTTTTTTTTTTCAGCCTTTGATAATATCTTAGTACCCAGATAGGCTTCATAAAACGAAAACAAGTTGTAGCGGAAAACACACTGGACTACGAGTCAGGTGGCTTACCTGTAAGGCCAAGCTGGGTCATTTGCTTGCCATGTGACATTGAGGAAATTACTTAACCCCCAGTCTTGCTTCCTGTGCATTTACCTGGTTGTTTTTAAATGTCAAATAATTTAACAGATGTGAGAGAGCCTTTTTTAAAACTGTAAAGTTGGTTGGACGTGATGGCTCATGCCTGTCATCCCAGCACTTGGGAGGCCAAGGCAGGAGGATTGCTTGAGCTCAGGAGTTAAAGACCAGCCTGGGCAACATGGTGAAACTTTGTCTTTATAAAAAATACAAAAATTAGATGGGCGTGGTGGCGTGCACCTGTAGTCCCAGCTACTCGGGAGGCTGAGGTGGGAGGATCTCGAGCCTGGGAGGTTGAGGCTGCAGTGAGCTGTGATTATGGCACTGCACTCCAGCCTGGGCAACAGAGTGAGACCTTGTGTTAAAACAAAAGCTGTAAAGTCCTTTGCAGAAGTAAATGAAGGCTGTGTTGCTAATAAGGGCTACAGTGTGTGGCAAATACTGGGTGGCATAAGCAACCTCAGCTTCATTAGCTGCAACCTTTATTCAAACCAATTAGGAGATATAGGCTCGGCCTCCCAAAGTGTGCTCGCTCACGCCTGTAATCCCAGCACTTTGGGAGGCCGAGGCGGGTGGATCGTGAGGTCAGGAGATCAAGACCCTCCTGGTTAACACGGTGAAAGCCCGTCTCTACTAAAAAAATACAAAAAAATTAGCCGGGCGAGGTGGCGGGCGCCTGTAGTCCCAGCTACTCGGGAGGCTGAGGCAGGAGAACGGCATGAACCTGGGAGGCGGAGCTTGCAGTGAGCTGAGATTGCGCCACTGCACTCCAGCCTGGGTGACAGAGCGAGACTCCGTCTCAAAAAAAAAAAAAAAGAGGACATAGGTTTCTGGCCTGAAACATTAAGTTTCTTTTTTTTTTTTTTGAGACGGAGTCTCGCTCTGTCACCCAGGCTGGAGTGCAGTGGCGCAATCTCAGCTCACTGCAAGCTTCGCCTCCCAGGTTCATGCCATTCTCCTGCCCCAGCCTCCCGAGTAGCTGGGACTACAGGCGCCCGCCCCCTCGCCCGGCTAGTTTTTTTGTATTTTTTTAGTAGAGACGGGGTTTCGCCGTGTTAGCCAGGATGGTCTCGATCTCCTGACCTCGTGATCCGCCCATCTCGGCCTCCCAAAGTGCTGGGATTACAGGCTTGAGCCACCACGCCCGGCCAACATTAAGTTTCTTAGACAGTGATAGCTTTGAGGTTAACATAAGTGTGTACACATGTTTTTTTTTTTGTTTTTTGTTTTTGGGATGGAGTCTTGCTCGGATTTTTTTGTTTTAATAACCATATTTTTATATGGTTTCTTGAGTGTTTTCATTCTTGTATGCTTTCTCGAATTACACTGTAGACACTTTAGGTAGCTTTGCGGTTACATCTTATTCTACAAGAATTGAAGAGCTTGTTCTATCTGAATTCTGAGCCACCCATGCTGAAAGTATTAATGCCTTTCATTTGTATGCACTTAAAAAATGCTTTCACTTCTACAGTCTCATTTCTTTTAAAAATATTTCTTGTAAAGATGAGGTCTCACTGTGTTGTCCAGGCTGGTCTCAAATTCCTGGCTTCAAGTGGTTCTCCTACCTTTCAGCCTCCCAAAGTGTTGGAATTTTTTTTTTTTTTTTTCTTTTTGAGACGGCGTCTCACTCTTTCGCCCAGGCTGGAGTGCAGTGGTGTAATATCTTGGCTCACTGCAAGCTCCGCCTCCAGGGTTCACGCCATTCTCCTGCCTCAGCCTCCCGAGTAGCTGGGACTACAGGCGCCCACCACGCCTGGCTAAATTTTTGTATTTTTAGTAGAGACAGGGTTTCACTGTGTTAGGCAGGATGGTCTCGATCTCCTGACCTCATGATCCACCCGCCTCGGCCTCCCAAAGTGCTGGGATTACAGGTGTGAGCCACGGTGCCCAACCAAGTGTTGGGATTACAAGCATGAGCCACTGTACTCAGCCCTGCAATCTCTTTTGATCCTTTTAATCAACCCTATGTGATAGGTAACCTCATTTGACGGAGGACATTGAGGCTTATAACAATTAGAAGATAACAGAAGAGCTAAATGGTGAATTGTATTTTTAGTAGAGACAGGGTTTCACCATGTTAGTCAGGCTGGTCTCGAACTCCTGACCTCAGTTGATCCACCTGCCTCGGCCTCCCAAAGTGCTGGGATTACAGGCATGAGCCACCGTGCCTGGCCATATCTGCATGTTTCTAAGGAGCAGCTACAGAGCTGTCATCGGACTCAAAAGACCACCTTTGACTCCATAAAGGTTGAGATGGTCATTTCTTGGCTTTGGAGACCTTGTTGCTCTGTGACGCTTTAGTTACAGTGTTAGGTGCTCTCCCTTTTTGGTCATACCTTTATGACCACAGTAGTCCTTTGGTATGCTTAGATCAAATCTTCCAAATCGCAGCTCTTCACAGATAACTCTGAGGGTGCTTAACACAGAAGTGATTTTCATTTGCTGCTGGGATGCCGGAGGGAGTCATTTAGTGAATGAGGTTTGCACTCTTCCCAGCATCCCCATTTAGCAACCCTGTTTAATGACAGTCGTCCTCTCTGTGTCTCATGGGAGAAGTTCTTTGCTTAGGTGGTTTTCTTGAATTGACAGATTGGGAAGTCTCAGGATATGTCCCTTTCAAGCAGCAGTAACTGGACTCTGTCTCCCTTCCCCCCATGTTACACTACGTTGTCTTATTTTTGCAGCATCATTTAAAAGGTATTTCAACTCCTCTCTGGAAAGAGACAAGTATTCAATAAAGAAATACATTTTCTGTGTTCTAATTGAGAAAACTGAAGTTCAGAACGATTAAATGTCATTATTGAAATTCCTAGATATTATGAGGCAGAGAAGAAAAGAGAAATTAGACCCCATGATTTCTGGTGAGTCTGCTATACCCTTAAGGCTCCCACTTGCTAAGTGTGTGCTATTTCTAAACAGCCTGGCGTGGGGGAGTGTGGCTAGGGCCCAGCAAGGTGAACCACTAACTAGAATTCTCTTTCTGCTTCCTCAAGAGCTTGACTTTGAACCTGTAGAAACTCAGTGAGTCTATTGGGGCCTCTTTCTTGTTATTAATAAATTAGGGAGCCTTCCAAGTGCCTTCCAGGGTTCTCTGACCACTGCACGGGAGTGCTGAGAGATCCCAAGGAGTGAAATTTCAGGAGAAATGCAGACAGGTCGGGCGTCTTAGAGCAGAGTCTCCGTGACAAAGCTGCTGTATGTCATTACCTCACGTTAGGAAGAACAGCCACATCGTTCTCATTTCAGCAAAGTAAACACTCCTAACGTCATTTATTCTTACGTATTTTTCCTCTTTTTCTATAGGTGTTGTTTCGGTTGATCACCTTTGTCTTGAATGCATTTATTCTTCGCTTCCTGTCAAAGGAAATTGTTGGCGTGGTAAATGTAAGGTAGGAGGAGATGCACCCTGGCACTGTCAGAGTTCACCTTCCTAGCCAGGCTTTCTTCACACTCTGTACCTGTGTGTCATCCTTGGATTCTAGAAGCATGGACCTTTACCAGAAGCAGAGTGTTTTAGCAGTGGGCTAAGGAGAGGCGTGCAGGAGTGGAGGGACATGCAGGCAATGTTGCTTTTAATGGACTCATGGAGTGTTTTCCATTAGCAGCCTCCAAATGCACATTTCTCTGCCAGCTGTTCTGGTTTTCCTGCTCTTGGAAGTCAGGAAGGAGAAGAGTGGGAGTAATTCATTAAAAACTCCCTCTCAGGTATAATCCTATGTTCTTGTCCTGCTGACAGCAAAGGAAGCAGAAATTGTGCACTTCGTGAGGATGCACTTCATAATTGCAGGGCTGGAGCAGCCACCTTCCTTCCCTCTTCAGTGATTTTATAATTGGGATACAGCAACTGGGATCCGAGCTTGAGTCCTTGTCATTAGTTTCTTGGAGGCTCTTGGAAAGATGACTTCTTTGTCTTTTAGACTCAGCTTGTTTCTTCTACTCACCTCCTTTCTATTCAAGGACACCCACACATATTTTGTCTTCACAAATGACACAAAATACATGAAATGATGTAAGTGCTCAGAATAGCTCAGCTTCTCAGGTGTGTCTTCATGTCCTGATAAATGAGGCGGTATGTTCCAGACAGCATTTCATGTCTAATACTTAACAAACATATCCTCTTGGCTCTGGTCTCAGAGCTTAGTGGCAGGACTCAAGCTTTGAGGAAAGGAATCATCTGTGGAGTTTTGCACTACGTAGTGCTGAAGAAGGGCCCAGGAGTCTGCATTTTTACAAGCTCCTTAGGTGATTTTGAAACAGGGACCATTCTTTGAGAAATACTGTTTTCTTTTTTTCTTCTTCTTCTCCTTCTTCTTCTCCTCCTCCTCCTCCTCCTCCTCCTCCTTCTCCTCCTCTTCCTGCTTCTCCTTCTCCTTCTGCTTCTCCTTCTTCTGCTTCTGCTTCTTCCTTCTTCTTCAGCTTCTTCTGCTTCTGCTGCTGCTGCTGCTGCTTCTGCTGCTGCTTCTGCTACTTCTGCGCTTCTTCCGCTGCTGCTTCTGCTGCCGCTGCTTCTTCCGCTGCTGCTGCTTCTGCTGCTGCTGCTTCTTCCGCTGCTGCTTCTTCCACTGCTGCTGCTGCTTCTTTCTTCTTCTGCTTCCTCTTCTTCCTTCTTCATCATCTTCTTCCGCTTCCTCTTCCTCCTTCCTCTTCCTCTTCTTCCTTCTTCCTCTTCTTCCTTCTTCTTCCGCTTCCTCTTCTTCCTTCTTCCTCTTCTGCTTCCTCTTCTTCCTCCTTCTTCCTCTTCCTCTCCTCCTTCCTCTTCCGCTTCCTCTTCCTCCTCTTCCTCTTCTTCTCCTTCTTCTCCTTCTCCTTCTTCTCCTTCCTCTTCTTCTTCCTCTTCCTCTTCTTCGTCTTCATCTTCGTCATCTTCTTGTTCTTGTTCTTCTTCTTCCTTTTGCCCTGTTGCCCAGGCTGGAGTGCAGTGGCACCATCATGGCTCACTGCAGCCTTGACCTCTTGGGCTCAAGCGATGCTCCCATGTCAGCCTCTTGAGCAGCTGGGACTACAGGTGTGCACCACCACACCTGGCTAATTTTTTTATTTTTTGTAGAGATGAGGTCTTACTGTGTTGCCCAGGCTGGTCTCAAACTCCTGGGCTCAAGCAATCCTCCCATCTTAGTCTCCCAAAGTGCTGGGATTATAGGCATGAGCCTGAGAAATATAGGCACTTGGCCCTAAGAAATACTTTTTTAAAAGCAGAAAGGAAGAGGGGCAAATCCTCCTAGCGGCTCAGATTTTTCTCCCTAGGCAGGCGTCCTGAGATTGGCAGGTCCCTACTTTGACAGCCCTTGTCTGGCCTGCCCTGCCCCCCTGCTTAAGGTTCGGTTCCATCTCCTTATTTGCAATGCTCCACAGAGGCACGGGGTAGCAGGATAATCCTTGGACAACCCCAGAGACCTTCACCCTGGGCCATCCCCACTCTGGCTTCACCCAGGCTGCTGCCTATTGAGGAAGGAAATCTCAGCTACTCCTCACTAAGGTGCAGGAAGGCTCACCTAGGTGCTGCCCGTCTGGGAGGTGCCCAGGCAAACCTTGCTGATCTGGGTTGCAGCAGCCTCCGTAATGGTTGCCAGCCTTATTGTCTGTCTTGAGATTCTTTTGGCCAGAGCCTCCACTCGGTAGAGGCTCAGCTTTTCTCACAGGGGCTATCGGTCACTCGTGTCCGCGTGACCAAGAAGGGTGGGGTTATAATCTTATCCTCTTCTCCTCCTTGTGGTCATGGCCACACCTCTGCCTGTAGCTATGAAGGCTGCAGGCTTTTGAGACCACTGCAGCAGCTTCTATCCTTTATGTAACTGTAGGCACACACCCTCAGGTGTCTTTCGTTTGGTTCCTAACTCAGTAGTTCTCATGGATCAGACCAGTAGGGGGTCCTGTAAGAGCCCACTGCCCTCCATGTCACCATCAGTGGTTTATGACCAAGACTTTATCTCCTCCCTGTAGCTGGAAATATCCCAGAAGTTCTCTCTGTGAAAAAACTCGAGACCTTATTGATTTCTGCCTTTCATTTACAGACTAACGCTGCTTTACTCAACCACCCTCTTCCTGGCCAGAGAGGCCTTCCGCAGAGCATGTCTTAGTGGGGTCACCCAGCGAGATTGGAGCCAGACCCTCAACCTGCTGTGGCTAACGTGAGTTGTGCTTTGGCAGGAGACACATTTCAGCAAGGCAAGTGTAGTGAGCATTGGAAGTGAAACAGTAACACGTACCTAAAGCTGAATTGCCTCCAGATTCAGCTTTGCCATGGGTTTCTGGGAGCAGGCATACGACAAGAAGGGGAGAGTGTTTGTGTCAAAGGAACTTCTTGGCTCATTTTCTCTCTGGATGTCCAGGAGCTAGGAAGAGGTTCTAGGTTGGGGTTTCTGGGCCAGGTTTCTAGCCCTGGTTTCATCCTCTTTGGAGGTTGTTTCTTGCTGTTTCTGATCACCACTGTGGGCTCCACTTGGCCTGTGCCATCTTTTTTATTCCTAATCTTTTTGCTCTATAATATCTTTTGAGCTTTTAACAACCACTTAGATTTAGTATTTCTTGAAAGCCTCTTATGGGTTCATTACATTTTTCTTCAATTTTGTTATATGACTTCAGTTCTGAGTCTTTTAGGATATTCTTGAAGATCAAGTACATTAGCTTGAAATTGCAATGGCTTTTCTCCAGCTATGTCCCTGCAGGGAGGGCTGGGGGTTGAGGTTGTTTCCCAGTGCTGCCCTTGCATAACTCCTTTTTGCCTCACAGAAATGACGGTCGTGAGGGCTGGTAGGTGTTCATTTTATTAGAGGAACAACTGTTAACCACCCAGGCATATTTAAATGCCCCGTGGCACACATGTGAAACATATGAAAGGATACTGAGCACTGCTCTGTTTGTTATTTGGGATGCAAGGAACAGCTGTATACAGTCTGTCAGTCATTCTCAACAACAGGCATTTTCTTTCTGGGAATTTTGCTTATGGGTCAGTATGTGTAACCCAGTGGATAGAAGTGTAGGCTTTGGAGTTATAGCAGGATTGGGTCTTGCTTCTGCTCTTGATTAGCTGTTCATGACCTTGGCCAAATTGCCCAGTGCCTGTCAGCCTGTTTCCTCATTTTTTTTTTAATGGAGATAATGACAGAGGATCATTGTGAGGTGTCAGTGATATAAGGGGCATTAATCATAGTGCCTGGCATGTAGTTAGTATCTTAATAAATAAATGGGAGCTGTTTGTATTATAACTTTTTTTTTTCTGTTCAGTGTTACTATTTTAATATATATTTCTATTTATTTTAAAATTTAGTGAATTATTTTTTTCTCCTCTTCCAGAGTCCCCCTGGGTGTGTTTTGGTCCTTATTCCTGGGCTGGGTCTGGTTGCAGCTGCTTGAAGTGCCTGATCCTCGTGTTGTCCCTCACTATGCAACTGGAGTGGTGCTGTTTGGTCTCTCGGCAGTGGTGGAACTTCTAGGGGAGCCCTTTTGGGTCTTGGCACAAGCACATATGTTTGTGAAGCTCAAGGTGAGTGCGCCTTCTGCTGTGAATGGGGAATGGGAAGAATAAGAAAAAGCGTTGCTTTTTAAAAATGCTTTTATAGGAGAGAATGATTTTTCCAGACTTGCACCTAAAAATGTATTTAGAAAAAGGTTAACATGGTCAGTTAAGTTCTTCCACTTGAAATCTGTCAGATAGGCTAGGCTAAAGTTCACCTCTGTTTGACCATAAATAAAAAATAGGTTTGCTAATAATTTACTAGTTCAAGTCAGAATGTAGAAGAACCGTAAAGGTTTTTCAGGTTTTTCTAGTGACTGTATTTAGTTGTATATTAATATTAACTTTTCTCTCTTCATCTTTTAGAATAGATTACAAAAGAATATATATATAATGTAAATCTTAAGGCATAATATACTGGAAGATCCATGAACCCACCACCGTACCCAAGAAGTAAAACGTTACTGATACTTATGTCCAGCTGTGTGCCCTGTCCCCATAGCCAGGGTAGCCACTGCCTGAGATTTTCTGTCTATCATTCTGTTACATCTTGACTTTTTGATAATGTTTGTAAACTGCACCTTAACCACATGTTTGCAGGTGATTGCTGAGAGCCTGTCGGTAATTCTTAAGAGCATTCTGACAGCTTTTCTCGTGCTGTGGTTGCCTCACTGGGGATTGTACATTTTCTCTTTGGCCCAGGTAAGAATCATGGCTTTTAACTTTTTATATGATCTTTGTTTCTCCAACTGGTTTTTCTTCTTGTTCCCACCGCCGTGGGGTTTGCATTTGCAGTACCCATGCCTGTGCAGGAGGTGGAAGCACCAGAAGGGTGGCCTTGGCACTGCTACTCTGGCTGCCAGGTCCATTGTGTTCCATACACTGAGACCGTAGGTGTTTCTAGGGACCTGGTGAGGGCCACACACTGGACTTCATTGTCAAACATCAAAAACCGTTTTTAGACATTCAGTGGGCAAGCCTGTTTCAAACTGATCTTTGGTTGTCTGGTAGTTTTGTAAAGGAGAAAAAAAGCAGTGAGGGGTGGGGTGGGAATCAGATTACATGTGTATTATTTTCGCTGGATTTCCATCAGGTTTTTGCAGAATAGGTGGAAACTCTGCCAAGCCTGTTTTAAACTTACATTGAAATCTCACATAATTCAGAGAGCATGAATCAAGTCAGAGTAGGTATATTTTCAGTTTTAGCAATTTAGGCTTCATTTCCATCTCATTATTTCCTAGTTCTAGTTCATATTTCTAGTTCTAATAAAAATATAACTAGAATACAAGTGCTATTTTTAAAAATGAAATTTAAGATCAGATAGTTACCAGAACATTTTACAGTGCTAAGCAGTTGTAGTTTTCATTAATGTTTAGGAAGATAAGATTCTTAGTAATGATTTATGTAGAGGGTACTTCTCACAGAGGACACTGGCATCAGGTGGGTGGCTCACATTACTGCTGCTGGAGTTTTAAGGGCTTGGAGCATGAAGGAAGAAGGCTGGTGGATGATGGGCTCCATCCCAGGTATGATTGGGAGTGGAGAGCAGAAGGGCCCACACCTACTAAACTGAGACTCTTCTTTTTCCTTGCCCTGTGCCTTTTACTACAGGAGCAGCCTTGATATTGCCAGGCTGAAAGCAAGTCTGGAGGTCCCAGTCTTTCTTGAACCAGTGTGCACTGCTGTTCTCAGGAGGGAAAGAGGGTTGCAGGGAGCTTGTGAAAAGGGGCTTTTTTGGACTTTCCTCCTCAATTTGCAGACAAAACCCATCTGACTGCTCCTGGCCAGAAGCCATTCTTTTGTCCTGGATGGGTGGAGGGAGGGTTGAGCCTTCTTATCACCTTACCCTTTCCTCCCCCATCAGTAGTAGCTCTTGCCCTGGCGAAGAGGAGAGAGTCAGCAGCTCAATTGTGCTTTGTAATCATTCATGGCACAGGTTTCCGGGGTTTATGGAAAACCCGCAGTCCTTGATGATGACAAGTCCTTGGATATTAGCACAGTTAGGATACATGGATCTTTGCAGTGTGCTGACTAGGTGGAAGAGCCGTTCCTTTGGCCAAATACACACCTTTTGAGAATGTATCAGACGTTGCTGTGGTAATTGAGCTAGTGTACATCTGCTACGGAAACTACATTCTGCCTGCTGAGAAGAATTACGTTCCCCCAGTTAAGTGAAGTGTTGGGAACACTTTGCAGGTAGATGCTGAAGTGGAGTTGGGTCTAAGTGAATAGTGCCATTTCCCAGAGAGTAAGGCATTGCTGAATAGAAAGTGCAGTTAATCAAGAGAGTTCTATTACTTGATTGGCCTTTGAGATCAAATTTATAGGCATATCTTAATTCTGCCTTTATTAAAACAGTTTATTTTTTTTCTCAGCTTTTCTATACTACAGTTCTGGTGCTCTGCTATGTTATTTATTTCACAAAGTTACTGGGTTCAACCAAGCTTCAGACTCTTCCTGTCTCCAGAATAACAGATCTGTTACCCAATATTACAAGAAGTGGAGTAAGTAATACATTTTATCTGTTATTTTAATCATAGGTGCTGCTTATCCTTGAGAGAAAGAAACTGCAGCTGGTTTATTGTTATAATCATAAATGAATTTTATAGCTCATATTTATGGAGTGCCTGCTCTATGCCAGGCCAGGGTTTCTAAATCTTTGCACTATGGACATTTTGTGTTGCTCAATTCTTTGTTATAGGGGCTGTCCTGTGTGTTGTAGGATGTTTAGCAGCATCTCTGACCTCAAGCAACTAGATGCCAGTAGCTCCTCAGTGGAGCACCCCAAAATGTCTCCAGACGTTGCCAAATGTCCCCTAGGGGACAAAATTACCCCCAGTTGACAACCACTGTGCTAGACCCTATGCTGAATGCTTTACCTGCCTTATTTAATGCTTACAACAACTCTGAAAGGCTGACACTCTGTTTCTATTTTAGGGTTGAGAAACTAAGGCTTAGAGAATAAATACCTGTCCTAGGTGAGGGTCAGAGTGAGGACAGGAGCCTGGAGGGGCTCACATGCCAGCAGAGCACAGGTTCCACCATTGTGCTCCACTCTCTATTCTGCTGTGGTTTTGGTTTTCTTCCTCAGTTGACTTCTAGCACAGATAGCTGAGAGTTCTGAGAAAGTAGGGATGAACCCAAAATGGTCTTTTTTTTTTTTTCTCCTTGAGACAGTGTCTCATTCTGTTGCCCAGAGTGGCGTAATCATAGCTTACTACAGCCTTGACCTGCTGGGCTCAAGTGATCCTCCTGCCTCAGTCTCCCAAGTAGCTGGGACTACAGATATGTGCCACTATGCCCAGCTAATTAAAAAATTCTTTTTTGTAGAGATAGGGTCTCACTATGTTGTCCAGGCTAGTGTTGAACTCCTGAGTTCAACCAGTCCTCCCATGTCGGCCTCCCAAAGTGCTGGGATTATGAGTCACCATGCCCGGCCCCACATGGTCTCTTTCTAAGTGTCAGGCTAGTCTTTCAGGTGATCCACTTTCCTATCTAGACCACTGTGGATTTTACAGCTGACATGTGGAGTGAAGCATAATCTTTTCTACTTAATTCCTTCACACTCGGGTCATTGGACTTTCATTTTCTGGCTCTGTTGGGGTCAGTGCTCCTGCCCATGCCGTTGGAGCTGCACACATGATGATGCTGCCATGTTGTCTCTGCTAAGACACTTCATGAGCTCCTCCATTCTGGGTGCTTCCCCCCTTTCCATGCTTGTTTGCTTGCCGGATGTAGTGCACTCGGTTGTGGTAAGGCTGCATATGCTGGATTTCTCCTTATTCCTCTTGTGATACTTGAAAAAGTATTAAAATATGTGAGACTTAAGTCTCAGAATTTACAGAATCCTGTTATACAACTTTTCAAGAAAAACTAGATCTTATGGGCCAGGCGCAGTGGCTCATGCCTGTAATCCCAGCACTTTGGGAGGCTGAGGTGGGCAGATCGCCTGAGGTCAAGAGTTCGAGACCAGCCTGGCCAACATGGTGAAACCTTTTGATCTCTACTAAAAAATACAAAAATTAGCTGGGCATGGTGGTGCGTGCCTGTAATCCCAGTTACTGGGGCAGGATGGGGACTGAGGCAGGAGGATCACTTGATGGTTGTGTGTCTGGAATTGGTGGGTTCTTGGTCTCGCTGACTTCAAGAATGAAGCTGCAGACCCTCGCGGTGAGTGTTACAGTTCATAAAGGCAGCACATCTGGAGTTGTTCATTCCTTCTGGCGGGTTCATGGTCTCGCTGGCCTCAGGAGTGAAGCTGCAGACCTTCACGGTGAGTGTTACAGCTCATAAAGGTGGCGTGGACCCAAAGAGTGAGCAGCAGTAAGATTTATTGCAAAGAGTAAAAGAACAAAGCTTCCACAGTGTGGCAGGGGACCTGAGTGGGTTCCCACTACTGGCTCCTGCAGCCTGCTTTTATTCCCTTATCTGACCCCCACCGACATCCTGCTGATTGGTCCATTTTACAGAGAGTTGATTGGTCTGTTTTGACAGGGTGCTGATTGGCATATTTACAATCCTTTAGCTAGACACAGAGTGCTAGACAGAAAACTTCTCCAAGTCCCCACTAGATTAGCTAGACACAGAGTGCTCATTGGTGTGTTTATAAACCTTGAGCTAGACACAGAGTGCTGATTGATGCACTTGCAAACCTTGAGCTAGACAGAGTGCTGATTGGTGCATTTACAAACCTTGAGCTAGACAGAGTGCTGATTGGTGCATTTACAATCCTCTAGCTAGCCGTAAAAGTTCTCCAAGTCCCCACCAGATTAGCTAGATACAGAGTGCCGATTGGTGCATCCACAAACCTTGAGCTAGATGCAGAGTGCTGATTGGTGTATTTACAAACCTTGAGCTAGACACAGAACACTGATTGGTGCACCTACAATCCTTCAGCTGAACATAAAAGTTCTCCAAGTCCCCACCTGACTCAGGAGCCCAGCTGGCTTCGCCTAGTGGATGGATGCAGCACCAGGCCCCACACTCCTCAGCCCTTGGGCAGTCGATGGGACCGGGCGCCCTAGAGCAGGGGGCAGGTGCCGGTTGGGGAGCCTCCGGTCATTCAGGAGCCCATGGCGGGGTGGGGGTGGGGCTCAGGCATGGCTGGCTGCAGGTCCTGAGCCCTGCCCCGTGGGGAGGCAGCTGAGGCCTGGGGAGAATTCAGGCGCCCTGGAGGTGGGCCAGCAGTGCTGGGGGACCTGGCGCACCCTCCGCAGCTGCTGGCCCAGGTGATAAGTCCCTCACTGCCTGGGGCTGGTGGCACCAGCCAACTGCTCTGAGTGCGGCCCCGCCGAGACCGCTCCCACCCGGAACTGGCACTGGCCCACAAGTCCTGCCTGCACAAGTCCTGCCTCTCTCTCCACACCTCCCCACAAGCAGAAGGAGCCAGCTCCGGCCTTGGCTAGCCCAGAGAGGGGCTCCCATAGTGCAGTGGCAGGCTGAAGGGCTCCTCAGGCACGGCGCAGATGCCGAGGCTGAGGAGGTGCCGAGAGCGAGGGCTGCTAGCATGTTGTCACCTCTCAGTTGCAGTGAGCTGAGATCACACCACTGCGCTCCAGCCTGGGCAACAGAGCAAGACTCCATCTCAAAAAAAAAAAGAAAGAAAAACTAGATCTTATGTATCAAAGCCAGATGTGTTCTCATTTGTGAGATGAGTTCTCCATTGTGCTCAGCTAGATTTCACCTGTAACCTAAACCAACAGGACACTTTTGGATACCTCTGTGCCTCATTTACAGGCTTAGATAGTTAGGACTCAGGATCGCTTCTCTTGCCTAGAGCTTCTGCCACCTAGGTCTGAGAGTGCAGAAGAGTTCTTCTTCGCCTGACTGCCCCCTGATGCCCACCTGTACCAAGCCTGGCAGATTTTCATACTGGGCCTGTCCTTGTGCCCCAGCAGGATTTGGGGAAGGAACATTTGAACCATTAGTATAAGCAAAGAGAGAAGGTAAAGAGTCTGCCAAGTATTTATTAAACTCTGTGGTGGCCAGCCTGAGCAACATGGCAAGACTGTCTCTACAAAAAAAAAAAAAAAGTTTTTTAATTAGCCAGGTGTAGTGTTGTGCACCTGTAGTCCCAGCTACTCAGGAGGCTGAGGTGGGAGGGTCACTTGAGCCTAGGTCAAGGCTGCAGTGAGCCATGATTGTGCCACTGCACTCCAGCCTGGGCAACAGAGTGAGACCCTGTCTCAAATAAATAACTAAATAATTAAAATCTGTGATGGGCTCAGAACTCTAAGCTTAGTTTCTTTATCTGTCAAATGGGGATAATAATAGTACCTCCTTCCTAAGGCTGTTGTGAGGGCCTGATGAGTTGGGGCATGTAAGGTCTTAACATTGTGGCCTGGCACAAGTGGGTATCCTTAAGAGACAGCTGATATCACCACCATCACACTGATGCCCTGAGAGCAGAGCTGGCTCCACAGGGACACCCTAGCCAGGCAGCTCTGATGGTATTGGTATGGGAGCTCAGCGGTTTAATCTGGCAATATGCCCTGAAAGTACCCATGCCCAGACTGCAAGGACCCAAGCCCTGATCATGAGAAGGCTGTGTGTACCTGTGACACATAATGATACTGTTTCCACTGACATACAATAAGAACATGGCGCCATGCTTGGTGCCATCAGGGATACAGACATGTAGGAGAGGTGATTCCTGGGCCTCAGGGAGGTTTCTGAGGGCTTGAGAGGCACCTGATACAGATCTGAAGCCTGTGGGACTCCCCGCCAGACCTCAGGGTCTTCATTTTTAAAGTGAGATTGTTAGCCTACATGACCTGTGAGGCCCCTCTGAAGACTTCAGGAGTTCCATGAAGGTATTTGAACCTTGACAAAGAGCCATTTACAGTAACTACCATTGACTGCATGTTCTGTACCATGCACTACATTAAGCACTTTACATGGATTTTGTGTTTAATTTTCATAGTAACGTATGAGATAAATACTGTTAGCTCCATTTTACAGACAAGAAAACTGAGGTTCAGAGGAGTTAGGTGACTGAGCCAAAATCACATAGCTGGTTTTGAACCCATTTCTCTCCACCTTTTGCTGGGGACTAGCTTTAGGCTGTGGTTTACCCCTATGTTATGTAGCCTTCCAAAAGAAATTGGCTTATTGCCCACAGTAGTTATTATTTACATAAAGATTAGGAAGTTCCAGGTAGAACAATTCATAATTCAGGTTTATTATTTTAAAAAGAAGGCCAGGCGTGGTGGCTCACACCTGTAATCCCAGCACTTTGGGAGACTGAGCGGGCGGATCACTTGAGGTCAGGAGTTTGAAACCAGCCTGGCCCACATGGTCAAACCCCGTCTCTACTAAAAATATAAAACAGTTAGCCGGGCGTGGTGGCATGCGCCTGTAATCCCAGCTACTTGGGAGGCTGAGGGAGGAAAACTGCTTGAACCCAGGAGGTGGAGGTTGCAGTGAGCCGAGATCATGCCACTGCACTCCAGGCTGGGCAACAGAGCAAGACTCTGTCTCAAAAAAAAAAAAGAAAGAAAGAAAA